CTGTAATCCTCTCAGCACCCTAGGAAGGGTAGAAACTGTCATGATTCCCATTTTATGGATAAGGAAACAGAGGACTTAAGTAAGCACCTGCATGTAATGGGGGCTGGGGGACTGAGAATGAAAGTTTGGGCAAACTTGGATTGAACCCTTTCTGAAGTGCCAGCCCCTGCTGGGCCTTTTATGTGCATGATGTCCTGCAGCAGTCCTCGGGGTAAATAGATGCTGTCATTCTCATTTTACAGATAAGAAACTGAAACTCTAGGCTTGGCGCTGTTGCTCATGCCTATAATCCCAGCACTTTAGGATGCCGAGGCGGGCGGATCATTTGAGATCAGGAGTTTGGACCAGCGTGACCAACATAGTGAAACCCCGTCTGTACTAAAAATAAATTTTAAAAAAATTAGCGGGGCGTGATGGCGCATGCCGGTTGTCCCAGCTACTCAGGAGGCTGAGGCAGGAGAATCGCTTGAACCCAGGAGGTGGAGATTGCAGTGAGCCGAGATCATGCCACTGCACTCCAGCTTGGGCGACAGAGCGAGACTCCATCTCAAAAAAAAAAAAATAAAAGGGAAGGAAGGAAGAAAGGGGAAGGGGAAGAAGGAAGGAAGAAAGGAAGGAAAGAAACTGAGGATCTGTGACTTGCCCAAGGTCACATGGCTTCAAGGAGGGACACTTTGGTCATCAGACTTGGACCCTGCTTGTCACCACTGAGTCCAACTTGGTGCAGCCCGGGCTGGGGCCCATTTACTATACAGGCTCTGGCCTCCTGGCCAAGGAATTAGACTTTCCAGAGGCATGGCCTCCTGACTCAGAGAATAGCCTGCTTTTTCACTCAATTATGTGTTTTCTATAAAAATAGAACTCTTCATTAAAACAGCTCAGCACAGCCATCAGCTGCAATTACTAATTACTGTCCTTTTAAGAGATAATACCCCTTTCTATGCATTCACCACACCTGCTGCCACTTCCCGCCCACCCCCCCACCCCCTCTACACCCACCCCCGACACACAGAGGGTTCCCAGAATGGCCAGGAGCCAAAGGGATCCGAAAGAGCTGCCTAGGGCCCAGTGAACACACACGGGACCAGTAGGACCCAGAAGAATGGAGAGTTTCAGGGACACCCTGCAGCTTTACTTCCTTGGAGCTGCTTGGATCCTGGGAACACCCACAGTGCTCCAGGCCTTGGTGAGCCCTTGTGACTCAACTTTCCTCTTCCGTTCTTCAACAATTTGTTGAGAGCAGGCACCAAGGATACAAAGATAAGAAAGACCTAGTCCCCGCCCACATGAAGGAAGAATCTCGCAGGAAGACAGGTCTGACAACAGCAAAGATTACTGAGAATGACAGCTAACCTCTCTTGAGGGGTGACATGCGCCAGGCACAGGCTCTCTTTCCTTTAGTCCTCCCAGCAACCCTCCTGGGCAGTACCATGACTGTCCTGCCTTGCAAATGAATAGGTACCATCAGAGGTGAAGGCACTTCTAGGAAGCAACAGGGCCTGGAAGTATACCCACATCATCTGATGCTAAAGGCCATGTCTCAACGGGGAAATGGCTCCCTCGTGTACATGGTGGTTACTGTGTTCAAGTGTTCATTGCAGGTGCTGAGTAACTACAGGGAGTTACTTTCAGGAACATGAAAGTAAAAATGTGGACCCGTCGTGCTTGCTGCCCACACAGCCTGTGTGTTTCCCTGCAGCCAGCTCTGCTCTGCCAACTTCCCCTCCCACCAAGAGTGGTGTGCTGGGGTGAGCAGCCAGGGCCACAGGAAGGGTGAGGATTGGTGCCCCCAGGTAAGGCGATGGAGAAGACCCAGGACTATGCTTTGCTTAGCCAGAGACACCACAAAAATATCCCCTATTTACAGGATAACTATTTTTTTTTTTTTTCGTTTTTGGAAAGGCCATTCTAAGGGTCTCACCCTCAGATCTCTCTATAGCGGTGGGAAGAAATTGTTTGTCTTTGCCTCACATGGGAACAACTCCAAGTCTTAATCCTTCCAACAAATAATTAGCAGTGTGATCCTGCCCTAGGAGTGCAGGCGAGGTGCGGCTAGGAAGAGAAGAAGAGGAGGCAGATGCCAACATTCTCCTGGGAACCTCCATCATCAGCCCACGCTGGAGCGATTGGGGAGATTGGCAAAGCTGGCGGCCTATGGCACAGCCATTTTCTAATGGGGAACAGAGACACCAGCCTCACTGGTCTCGGTCTTCCTCCACAGAATCAGGGCTGCCCTCGACATACAGACCCCGTGGGCTGAGATGTCCCATGGTTCAGCAGGGGCTGGCTCTGTCAGGTCACCTGAGTGCCTTTCTGTGCCCCTGGATGCTGCATCACACTTGCAGATGACATGGGAGTCGGCAGGTCCCAGCGGTTAGGATGGTGGGTGAGGGAGCACTGAGCCTGGGTGTGGGGTGGCTGGTGTGGCCTACTGAAGTCTCTGGCAGCATCCTGATGAGGGCGTAAGCACATAAAGAGAGGGCTTATGTCTGCACTGGGCTCCCCACCCCGACCAGGGCCTGTGTGCCGCATGGCTTGGATGGGCCTGCAGAGAGTACGGGGAATGGGTCACATCTCAGGACCCAGCCATCCTTCCCTAGCCCCAGCAGTGTGACCAAGCACTTGGAGTGTTTACACTGACCCACGCTCCTTCCCCTTTTCCAGAGAGAACACTCACTTTCACATCATCCTTCGATGCCAATGGCATGGCAAGGGCGTTTGGCCTTAAAAGACCTCAGTGTTTGCTTCACATGGGCTTCTACAGCTTAAACAGGAAAATGCTTGCAAGAGGGGTCACAGCGAGGATGCTTTGTCCAGAGCCCAGTTCCTGTAGCTTTATGCATCTCCTTTCATCCTCTTCCTGTCATAAGCCTGTCTTAGGTCCTAGGAGTGAAGGGCCTAGTTGAGCAGGCCAAGAAGCTCGGGGCTTTCTAGGAGCCTTCAGAGGCACCTGGCCTGGAGACTTGTTTCTTGGGATCTGGCCGGCCTGCAGCTTCAAAGCAGGAGTCCCTTCCCTGTGTGCTGGAGAGCTGAATGCAGCTGCTGCTGAGAGGTCATCACAGTTCAGCCTGGTGGGAGTTCGTGGGACAGGTGACTTTACTCCTATTGTACAGGTGGGGGACCTGTGACATGCCCAGCTGGGTGACCACAGAGCTGGGACTTTGGCCTGGGTTTCTGATTCCTGGGCCAGTGTGTATTCACTTTGAGTAACGACACCGTGTGGGGCTTGAGGACAGTACTGTGACCGTTGCTCTTCTGGAATGGCTCTTATTGGAGGGCATAAATGTTGAAAGCTGCTGGATTTCAGTATTCAGGCATTTCGATCACAGACTCTCCTCAGTGATACTCTTTGGCCTTGCCCAGTGACTGTCTCCTGGGATGGAGGCCCTCCACCCCCACCCCAGTCAGGAGGAGCCAGAAGCTTCCACATCTGGAGCCCACTGTTCCTCCCCAGGTCCTACTTTCACAGGGAGGAAAACTTTGCTTCTGGACAGTTTGGAATGGAATTGGCCAGCGCTCTGCTTGTCAGCTGTGGGAGTCCGGCCCACACTGCAGCTATGGGGAAGCAAGTAACAGGCTCCAGGACTAGGCAGATACTGTGTGCTCAGCACTGCGCCAGGCGCTGGGGAAGGGCAGCGGGGCCCTGCCTGCAGGCACTTGCAGAGCAGTTGGGGACGCACGATGAGGCACAGGACAAGATAAACGGCGGTTTCACCATCTATAGGCCAGGCTGGCTGCACACTGATTCTAGAATGTCTGATATTAAAAATGCTTGAAATGCCAGGTGCGGTGGCTCACACCTGTAATCCCAGCACTTTGGGAGGCCAAGGTGGGTGGATCACCTGAGGTCGGGAGTTCAAGAATAGCCTGACCAACATGCAGAAACTCCATCTCTACTAAAATACAAAAAATTAGCCACGCCTGGTGGCACATGCCTGTAATCTCAGCTGCACAAAAAAAGCTTGATAATGAGTTTATTATTAAACTCTTAAGCCTAGGTGGCAAAAAAAAAAAAAGATTATATACATAGTAGGGGAATGGAAAATGGTTTCCCTCCACCCTTCTAGGGAGGAGGGCTTTGGGCTATGAATTAAATTGACATGACAGATTAACGGGAGAAAAAAATGTATTTAATTATATACATATACACGGAAGTCCCACTGAATATGAGATTCGAAGAAAGACCAGATGATTGAAGCTTAATAGCATCTGGAGCTACAGAAAGGAAAAGGGGGTTGGGGTTCCTACGGGTGGTAGGGACAAGTTATAGGAGGGTGACAGAGAGGAGATGATGAATAAAGGTTCTCTTATTATGCAGATAAAAATCTCTCAGGTGATAGAAGTTGTCAGGAGCAGCCCTCTTCTTTATAGATACTTTCACTAATGTGGATTTCCCTGAGAGATGGAAGTTTCTAGGCCAGGCAGTGTGGCTCATGTCTGTAATCCCAGTGCTTTGGGAGGTTGAGACAGGAGAATCATTTGAGCCCAGGAGTTTGAGACCATCCTAGGCAACATAGTGAGACCCCGTCTTACAAAAAATTAAAAAATTAGCTGGGTGTGGTGGCCCATGCCTGTTAGTCCTAACTACTCAGGAGGCTGAGGCAGGAAGATTGCTTGAGCCCAGGAGATCGAGGCTGCAATGAGCTATGATCATGTCACTGCACTCTGCCTGGGCAGCAGAGCCAGACTCTGTCTCTTTAACAAAAAAAAAAAAAAAAAAAAAAAAAGGAAATTTGTTTTATAAAAGGGCAGCTTTTCAGAGCTACTTCTGTGTCTGCAGTTTCTTGGAATAACTAACTCAAAATATGCCAAAGTATATTTTGGGGTGGCATATTCTGGTCTCAGTCATATTTTAGGGTGGTGTGTCCTGAGCCCCAAGTGTATATATATGTATAATGTAATTAAGTGCTAATGGAACACAGTGCCAGACATTCAGAGAAGGACAGCGTGATTACATAGGGACATCTTGGAGGAGGGCTGGAGCCGTGGGATTGAAATAGTTTTTTTAGTCTCAGAATCCTTTATTTAAGTGGTGTTTTAGGCTCACTTGGTTTATAAGACAGATAAGCAAGGGGAAGGGGAGCCCAGGCTTGCCTACTCTATCCCCAGCCCCAACTGCCAGCAGCCTTCCCTCAGCTTCGCGCAGGAGTCACAGCGCTCTGATGAGGCTGTGGCCACAGCTTCGATTCCTCCTGGCTGTGAGGGCCCCAGAATGTCACCCACCAGCCCTGACGGCATGCCAGGTCTCCGCCAGGCTTCCTGCTTCCTGAAGACATGGGCTAGGCATTGATAGGTGGGTGAGTGGGCAGCAGCTACCTGTTGCAGTGGACAGGATGGAGAGGGGCCTGTGCTCCTTAGAAGAGCAGCTGAGTTGCTCCTTCTGAGGGAGTGGAGTTGTTTGCTGATCCCTGTTGGGAGTGGGAGAAAGTTCTGCAGTGAACTAGAGGCAAGCCAGCAGAGGCGCAGATAACCACATCCTGACATCAGGATGGGGGTGTGCACAGCCCCCATGGGGACACAGAAAGCCAGAGGGTGACATCTGGTTAGGAGCTGGCTGGGTATCAGAGGGGGAAGGGTGATCTCAGCAGAGGCTACAGCACAAGCACAGCACGACGAGTCCAGGAGCCTATTCCGAGGCTCAGGGAGCTGCTAATACCCATGTGATCAGTGTACCAGCACCCAAGGTCATGGGGAGGATGGCAGGAAGGGAGGGTAGAGCCAGAGCAGGAAGGCTGTGAAGGCCACACAGAGGCACAGAAGGCGAGGACCACGGGGCAGGGCTCTTTGTGGAGGAAAATCCCTCTGGCAGCGCTCACCTGCCAGCCCGAGGAAATCTCAGGAACAAATCTGGATCCTCCCAGGATCCTGGAGTGAAAGATCAGACCAGAGTGACTGGTGGAGCACTTGCCCCAGCCCAGAAAGGATGCGGTTGGGTTGAGAAAATCCGCTCTGGGCCACTCATGTTAATGGAATGTCAGCAGCTGCGAAGGTACAGCCTGCCTTTGGTAGAACTTACTGTGATGCCAGCTCAGTTTTCAGCCACTTCTTTGCCAGGCACATGGTGTGGTCGGGTCTGCCCTAGACCCATTCCGGCCCTCAAAGATGAAGAAAGTGAGAAGGGAGCTCTGGCAGAGAGAAGCGTGCTGAAGAGGCAATGCCTGCAGAGGGCCCAGGGAATGCAGCAGGGCTGGCCTGCCCAGGGAGCTGTCCCCAGGAGTCAGCCCAGCCCAGGGGACTTGGCTGTCTGAGGGAGGGGCTTTCCCACCTCACTGACACCTACTGCTCCAACCAGCTGCCCCACCTTCCACACCCCAGCCTCTTCTCTCTCCCCAGCTCCCAGCCGAATCCCGCTCCACCCTGCTTTTCACCAAACACCAGCTCCAGTAAGATCCCTTTCCTGTTTCTTCCCCTGCACTGAGTCTGATCCAAAAATACAGCCCTTGATTCTCTGGTCAATGTGTCATTTATAGTGCTCTAATTGTCTCGAAGGCAGCCATTGTGTTTTCTTCTTCATATTCCTGAAAGCAGAGGCCCCTGGTACTTGTGGAGTGTTGGATCCTTTGCAAACCTGGGGAAGGAGAGTACAGTGGCCGGACCATTTGTCCCCAGCAGTTGCCCACTGGGGTCATTCCTACTCAGGGCTGTGTCCTGTGCTGACTGCGCACTCGGGTCTGTGCAGTCCATGCTAGAGGCATCCCAGTTTCTGCCCTTGGGACCTGATAGGCAAGCCAGGTGGTCATTAGTTATGTTCCAAGACGGGTGCAGGGCATCCTAAGAATTGAGAGAGGTGGGATTTAAAGCCAGGCTTGGGATGGATGAAAATGAAGAGAAGAGGTGGTATCTGAGGGGCAACCTGTGTGCAGGGTCAGGAAAGGCATTTGGGGGATGCAGTGAGGAAGAAAAATTCTTGTCTAGAAATCCCCTCTTCTGAAGATCCTGGGGCAAATTCCACCCTCTTCATTCTCTACCAAGTTGCAATCTAAGAGACAAAGTGTGGAAAGACAGGCAGAGAATAAGGACATCAGAGGGCTTTATGAAGCTGGAAGCCCAGGTCTCAGGGCAGAGGCCCAACTGAGAGAGATCAGAGGAGCAGCTGCCAGGGCCAGGCCTGGCCTCGCCAGGTGGCGCCTGCAGCCTTCGCAGTCTGGGTGGGGACCCTCCGATGGAGCAGGCCTGTGTGCTACCCTCAGGTGGGCTGGTAGAACCACCGGGCAGTGTTCAAGTGCAGGGCCTGACAGTCCCGTGGTCTTGCTCCTCAGCGGTGTTGAGAAGAAAGGGCCTCACTACTCAGCCACTGGTGAGAAGCGGGAGGTGCTGCTGTCTGGCCCTCGGTGGTTCAAACTCTCCGCAGGCTGCCCAGGCAGCTGGTGTGTGTTGGTACTGCTGGCAGTACCAAGGTGAAAATATGGCTGAACTTCCAATTTTTGCTATATAACCACTGCCTGGACCCCTCCAGAACCCCCAGACCTCCCCAGCATCTGAAGGGCCAACACCAGACACAGCAGGGCCTCCAGGGCTCCACCCCAGCTCTTGATGAGCGAGTGTCGTGACTGGCCTGTGAGAAGCATTCTGGCTGTGCCTGCTGTGTCCAGGGCAGAGGGAGGGAGCCAGCCACCCCTCCTGGGATCCTGCCTCCAGGTGGGACCATCTCTTCTTCTCAGCCATTCTAAGGGCCACTCCCCACACTGGTCTTACCTCAGAGGACTTCAGGTTTTCAGGTCGAAAGAAATTCTGAAGTTGCTTGCTCTCATTGCACAGTAACTGTCCCTAAATGGTGATTGAAAAGGATTTCACGTCACTTTAATCCTATCGATTATATAAGGGGAGCTGGCTATTTTGGGAAATCCAAGAAAGAATCCTTTGATAAAGCATAACACCGCCTTCTTTGTGTATCTCCAGGGTCAGGAAGCAAACTTTGCAGTTCCACTTAGGAGGTGTTGCTTGGGCACCTATACTATTGTGGCTGGCAAGGTGGGAAGTGGAGCTCTGTCCTTAGGGGACCTCCTTGCCAGTTCCTTGCTCTACCTTCACTCACGGATTCTAAGTCACTGTCTGGACGGGTCTCTTATCCAAGGTCCCAGGCTGGGCCCTGTGGGGAATGTGAGTGTAAGCCTGGTCCCACGTTCAGTAGGCACCGGGCGTTGCTTAGTGGAGGATGTGGGTAGGAAGAGCAAACCGAACAGGACCTCACAGGGCAGTGCATCAGAGATGGGCAGGATGGCACGTGGTCAGGGGACACAGGGCATCAGCAATGTGGGCACTGACAATGCTTCATGGGGTGCTTCATGCTTTGGCAGCCAAGATGGGGAGAAAGTGAGGCACAGAGAGAAAGCAAGTGGTCCAGGGGCCTGGCAGAGGCTGCCGCCCTCATGGCACTCTGCCTTCTGCGAGCTGGGGAGCTGGGCATGTGGGGCCGTCCTGGTGGGGCAGGATCCTCAGGTGAAAGTGGGCCCTCGCTGGGGTGTGCTGATGGCCGCTCCCTCCCCACAGCCTGATGTTCACCAAGGTGAAGCTGGAGCAGGCGCTGAAAGGCCCAGAGGAAGCCCTCGTGACCTGCAGACAAATGCTGCAGCTGTGGCAGACCCTGTACAGCTTCTCCCAGCTGGGGTGAGTGGCCATCGTTATCTCTTGGGTTGCCAGAGGGTGGTTGACAGGGCATCAATCCACATCTGGGTGACCACCATGCCTGCCAAGATGGGGAGGAGAGGGAGGCTGTTGAATGAAAGCATGGAACTTCTTGCCCACGGAGCTTTTCACATCCGTAGTCCAATTTGAACCTCCTGACAGTCCTCTATGAAGTACATAGAGACCCTGGGTAAGACATTGAGGTTCAGGAGTGGTAAGAAGGAAGAGAAATCATTCTTGAGCGCTGGAGCTGGGTGCTGGGCTTGTTCCTTTATCTTATACCTCAGCTGCTTATAGCTTATGCATTATCAGATTTTATTCCCAGCCCAGTGAGGAAACTCAGACACAGAGACTTTGTATATAGCTTACCAGAATCACTCGCCTGGTAAGTGGTAGTGCTGGGCTTGAACCTGTGTCTCCTGAGTTCCAGCCCGTGGAGGCTGTCACTTCTTTCCTCATTCCATTTGGAGGCTAGAAGAGGAGCAGGAGGTGGAGTCCTGAAGGGCCACCCCTTCTTCCCTAATCACCCACGCTCTTCATACCTCCTGTCTCCTGCCGGAGACCCTGGCCTGGGATCTGGATCTTTCATGGGCCAGAGCAGGGCAGTCTTGTCCAGGCTGAATCTGCAGAAAGTCTTTGCTCAAACCCAGGGACTCCTAGGCTTAGACTATGTGGCCCAAAGGGAAAGAGGGCCTCCTGCAGGTCAGGGGCCCTGCCTCTTCCTGATCCTCTTGTCCTTCTTTGAGATAGCTGACTGTGTCATCTCCCCGAGGCCTCAGGGGATACCTGCCTGGTGTGTATTTGTGTTTTCACAGAGACTTGGGAGCCCAGAAGGCTTCCAGACTCCCCAGAGGAATGTCTGTAACAGTGAAATTTACAGAGGAGGGTAATCTGATGGAGTAAAAACACCTTGGGCAGAGTCAGCCCTCACTTTGCAGGCCTGGGAGACCAGGGCAGAGCAGGACCAGTGGGTGGAAGCTGCCAGAAGGACACTCTGGGGTTGAAGGACTTTTCAGAATGGGAATGTGAAGCCACCTGGCAACTGGATGCATGAGGCCAAGGGCCACACTCTGGGTAAAGGGACCTGCATTCCGATGACCTTTTTCTCCTGCTCACTGGCTGTGGCCACACAAGCAGGTGCACAACCCAGCTCCCCTCCTGCAAGGGGGTTGCCCCGGAGCTGGCAGCTCTGTTCCTGCATCCTTATCTGGATGGCTGCTTGTCTCTTCCTCCAAGTGGTCAGTCGTGGTGGGACCCCTCTGAGCTGCAGCCTTGTCTCCCGGCATTGAAGGCCTGGCCTGTGCCTCCATTGGAGCAGCAGAACTGCAGGCCTGGGGCTTGTCACAACAGGAAGCCCCTAAGTACCTCTCCTTGGCTGCCCCAAACTAGATTTTACAAGCCCCGGTTTCTGATCTGTGGCCCCAAGTTCAGAAAAGAATCCTCCCTATCTCCTGGGAAAGCCAGGAGGATATTGGATCCAGGCTTCTGGTCCAGATAGCCCTGCCCTACACTGGGGGTAAAATCAGTTTGGGGTAGCCAAGGTTTAAGACCACAGCCTGCAGGTCTGGCCTAGCAGACCTTCACTATCAGCCACACCGTCCACTGCTTTGCCTGGGCCAGCCCCACACTGCTGGTCTCATGTTCTAATTGTCCCTCAGGCCCTGTCCAGATACCCCTCCTTCATGGAGCCACCGACCACCCAGCTTCTAAAATGTTTCATTCAACCCTCTCATGTGGGTTTTTGCTGATTGCTCAACTTGAACTGTCCCTTCTCCCCACCTGGGCTGTAAGGTTCCTCAAGGTAGGGACCATGCTGTATGTTGGCCTAGAACCAAGTGTAGTCCTGGAGATGGACTCTTTCTGGAGCCCTAGGAAAGCCCCCTTCACAGGATGGGAGAAAGAGTAGGATGGGAAGCTGCACCCAGCCCTGCTTCACGCCAGCCTTGCACCAGATCTGCCCACATTGTCTCATTTACTCCCCATGACCACTTTGTGTGATGGACATTCTCATGATCATTTTCAAGATGAGAAACCTAAGACTTAGAAAGGTCAAGTAGCATTGCCAAGGGTCACAAAGCTGAGAAGGGTGGCCCATGATTCCAACCTAGTGTTTCTGGCTTTTTTTTGTTTTGTATTGTTTTTGTTTTTCTGAGACAGGGTCTCGCCCTGTTGTCCAGGCTGGAGTGCAGTGGCATGATCACAGCTCAGTGCAGCCTCTATCGCCTGGGCTTAAGCAATCCTCCTGCCTCAGCCTCCCAAATAGCTGGAACTACAGGCACTCACCACCATGTCTGGTTAATTTAAACATTTTTTGTAGAGATGGGGTCACACTGTGGTTTTCAAGCTGTTGTTGAACTGTTGCCCTCAGGTGATCCTCCTGCCTCAGCCTCCCAAAGTCCTGGGATTACGGGCATGAGCCACCATGCCTGGCCTGTCTCTGGCTTTTTTGCACCACACTTTGTGCCTCCTGGGAATGGGAAGGGGTGGGAGAGGAAGGGAACCAGCCCAGAGCCATTGTGGTTTTACAGATGGTTTCCTCTGATGCCCACTAAAATTCCCAGGCCCAAGTTGAAGCCAATGTGAGCCTGAGTTAGGATGGCAAGGACACCCCTGGTATTCTTTGTGGGATCATCATCTTGGTGCTTCTCTGAAGGAAAGAAACCTTCTTGCCCTGCCTCCTCCTCTCCTGTGCCTTCTGCTTCTCTAAGTTTCCCCAGTTGACAGGGTCAAAGGTTGTGGGCTTCCTCGGCAGTGGGAATGTGCTGGCTGGGACTGCTTGTGCCCCGGGATGGCCACGGCAGGCTTAAGCTGGAGGCTATTTCCTGGTTCCCCCCAGCCCCCACTCTGTGAAAAGAGGAACCCCTCCCCCCGCCAGCAATATAGCAGCAGGGATCTGGGAAATTGGGGACAGGGGTTGGGGGACAAGATGGGATCTCCATGACTGTTTAATCTGCCACCCCAGGGGCCTCTGCTGGCTCCTCTGGGGACACCCTGGCAGCCCAAGGAATGGAAGCCTGAGGCAGGGGGTGGCATCTGGGCCCTTTTTCCACAGGGGTTTGGGGGTTGCAGCACTTCTGGTGCCCTGTCAAGACCAAGCTTTCCTTGGCAGTCAGTCCACAGTCCCCACTCTCTGCCTGACACTCTGCTGGATGTTGCTCCCCCTGGCCTGGGGAGCTTCTGACCTTACCCACTTCAGAGAAGACAGTAGGGAGGGTGGGAGAGTTTCCAGGCCTCAGCCTGTGTGGCATGCTACCTATGTTGATCCCTTCTGCCTCTCTGGTGATATTGGTGACTTCAGCTCTGTCTTTGGGACTGAACCCACAGCCCCAGAGCCTGCCTAGAGCCAGGCTGTCCCATTCTCCCTGTCAGTCCCCGTGACGCTAGCCCTCTACCTTACCGGACCCTGGCCCTCTTTTGCCTTCTAGAGGCCTGGAAAAGGATGGTAGCCTCGGTGAGGGCCTCACCATGAAGAAGCAGAGTGGCATGCACCTGACTTTGCCTGATGCCCATGATGCCGACTCTGGTAAGAATGAACTCTTTGGGCAGCTGTGTGCATGGACCCACAGCTCACGCTCCCAGCTTGAGAGCACCAACATGGAGAGGGGCACCTCCTGGCCGGGCCAAGCCCACCACTGGCTCCTTGCCAGCTGCTGCCCAGGTGCTAAGGAGCTACCCTTGGGCAACTTCTAGGGCTGATCTTGGCTCTGGGTAGGGGCTGGCTGCTGGTCCCACAGCGGGCGGTGGGCAGGGGAGGAACCCTGCCTCCTGCATGGGGGTGAAGAAAGAGGAGCCTGACTGGAAAGGTGGCTGTGGAGCACAGAAACCATTTCCCCTTAGGCTCAAGCCAGAGGCCACAGTCCACCTAATGTCCTCGGCAGATCAAGTCAAATATAAAGGAATGAACTGAGCTTTTTACAATTCTAAGCTGAAAGCAGACTCTTTGCTGGAAAAACTCATCCTGAAACCCATGGCTTGTGAAATTGAAATGAGTTCAGGAACTGCAGACTTACATTTTTCAACTGAGGACCTGCTTAAAGCAGAACACCTTCATCAAAAACACAAGAATTAGTCATGGGAAAGAAAGTGTGAGTGGAGTTGTATTCAGTGGAATTGCTCGTTTTTTTTCACTTCTGTGGACATGAGCCAAGTTGCACCTTTGTTGTCAAGTGACAGAGTTGATTTCAGAAGCCAAACCTAGCACCCGATTTTAGAGGCACATCTCAGGGGTGTATGGCTGTATGCAGAGCTTCTGTCTCCCAGGAGGGAATGGTTAAGGTAGGGGGGAATGGTAGCTCCCTTGCAATTAAAGAGGGAAGAATCATGAACAAAGTTATTAGGACTCCACGTACACTTGTCTCATGAACTGAAGTCATCCATGGTTTGCCCTGAGGTCTCCTGAGTTTATTGGAGCCTTTATTGCCTCTGTGACAGAGAGAGAGAAAGTGCTCACATTTCACCTGCATGGGAATTATAAATGTCAACAGCTTATGTATCCTGAACCGGAGCCCATGTCACCCAGAACTGCCACTGGGAGAGGTTTTCCAGAGGGCAGTATTCTGACTTGAGCTGCTATCCAAGGGTCCTTCTCAGCACAGCCTTGAATGGGGACCTTTCTACAAACAAATGAGAATATGCACTTGTGAAAACAGAGTGAAAATAGCCAGCGGAAGAAAAGAAAAATCACTCCTAATTTCACCACTTAGACCTTAATAAATGACCTTTCAGACTTTTTTCCATGCCCATATTTCTTTTTTATAAAAATGTGGTCCTGTTGTTTTGTAACTTGCTTGTTTTCACCTAACTATATAGTGCAAACATCTTTCTACATTGATATCTGTATTTGTACTTTGTTATTTTAATGACCGCAGAGTCTGGGATGATTATACCCCCACTTATTTTTAATCAGTCCCTATTGTTGGACACTGAGGTCATTTCTGTTGTGTTCACGTAAAGAGCATCTTTGTCGACATTATTGTTTTCCTAGGAATAGATTCCTAGTGAGATCTCTGCCTTATTGTCCTCCAAAGAGCTCCCCTCCCCAGCTGTGGGTGAGAGGACATAGTGGACCCTCCCTAGTAGGTCTGTGAGCTGCTTTCTGGCTACCCAGCCACACCACCCTGTTTCGGGGTACCCTGTCTCCCCATGGTGCTGGGCAATGACTGCTCCTGGAGCCTGCAACATGTGGACCTCTGACCACTGCTCAGCTCGTGCCCTCTTGCTCTGCAGGCTCCCGGCGGGCTTCATCCATCGCAGCCTCCCGGCTGGAGGAGGCCATGTCAGAGCTGACTATGCCCTCTTCGGTCCTGAAGCAGGGCCCCATGCAGCTATGGACCACGCTGGAACAGATCTGGCTGCAGGCTGGTGAGTGCCCTAGTCCCAGTGACACACACAGCCTGTCTGCAGGCTACCCATGCTCTCGGAACCCTGTCCTGGAGAAGGGAGTGTGGGGAGGTGGGGACTCCTTGCTAGGCCCACACGGGTTACGGAGTCCTCGCCTCTGGCAGTGCGTCTCCTTCTCTGCCCAGTGGAGATGGTGTCTACCTCCCTGCCTGGGAGAGCTTCCCTGGCAGCAAACCCAAACATGAGAGGATCGGAGGTCCTGAGAGGCCACATAGATGGACAGTTGTCTTGGTCTCAAAAACGGGCTTCAAACCCTAGAGAGCTCAGAGAGGGGAGGTGTGGAGGCCCCAAGAAAGAGAGGGCTGGGGTTAGAATTCATTGAAGGTGGAGGAAAGACTGGTAACTTTGAGGTTGCCATTCAGGTGACAGTCCCTCTTGGTAACTAAGTGGTACCATTGCCACCAGGAGTCAGTCTGAAGGCCAGCCAGTGTTGAGGAGGCAGGCTGCAGGAAGCCTGGCTCCAGAGTCCCACAGACCTGGGTTCTGAAGGCGGCCCACAACTGGCTAGCCCTGATCTGAAACGAGCCAATGTGTGACACAGTCAGGGTGGCCATTACAAGTGCTCGGCGAAAGGTGTTTGGCTTGTGTCTCGTCCATGGCAGTCATGGTGGAGGAAGAGGCAGTATGGCCCCATGGACAGCGAGTGTCCTAACACCAGCTGATGAATGCCCGGGAGGGACTCGCTGCCAAGAGTTTTGAAAATTTACCCTGACAGTGGTGTGAGAGGTGGATCAGAGTGGAAAGAGAGAGAACCAAGGCCAAAGATGACAAGTACCTGAATGAAATAAAATGGCAGCAGAAGAGAGAGGAGGAGGATAGGCTAAATGGACCCCTAAAGTACCCCAGGCCAACACACCCCCTTGGCCTAGAGCTGCCCAAGCGAAGTTCTGGGCCCAGGAGCACCTCTTGCATTTTCTCTGATTACCCTCCTCTCTGCTCCTTCCCCATCATGGGGGTGCGCTGTTGTCCCTAGGGGGATTTGGAGAAGAAACCGAAATGATGGTCTGTTACTGGGACATGGGGATTTGGTAAGTCAGAGTCAGAATGTGCTTGTTAGCTGAGAATCTAAGGTTTCCCACTGCATGTTCCTCACATACGGACACATTAGTATGCAGTACGCCCCCACTCTCCCCACTGTAGGTTCTGAATCTGCAAAAAACACTGGACAGGATTCACAGGAAGGCTAGACATGGGAGCAGTTTAACAATGCAGAAACTGCCCAGTTAGCAGCTCAGGGTGCCCTCGGAGGCTGCACTTGCTCCACAGTCAGCTTGTTGGGTCTTAAGTAGGAAGAGGGATGTTGAAAAATCCAGAGGAATAGTAAACAAGGCCTTGCCTTAAGCAAAGATTCCCGTCTTCTTCTAAGACTTCTAATGACTTCTAAGACCTCTATGACATCTTCGACCTCTATGACATCTTCTAAGACTTCTAAGACTAAAATAATGACTTCCAACTTCCAAGAGGCTGCATGGAGCCCCAGCCCCCCCAAGATTCGCATCCATGCTGGGGGCTTCACCAGCTTTAAGGAATGCAGCATAACACAGTGATCAGATTCTGCAGTTGTGGGTTTCCTGTGCCGGAGCTCCCAGGCCTTTTGTTTGAATTACTTGCCTTGGTTTTTTTTTTTTTTTTTGCTGGGGGGGTTGGTGTTTTTTTGTTTGTTTGGTTGGTTGGCTGGCTGACTGGTTGGTTGGTTGGTTGGTTGGTTGGTTGGTTGGTTGGTTGGTTGGCTGGTTGGTTTTTTGAGTCAGAATCTCACTCTGTGGCCCAGGCTGGAGTGCAGTGGTGCAATCTCAGCTCACTGCAACCTCCACCTCCCAGGTTCAAGTGATTCTCCCACCTCAGCCTCCTGAGTGCTGGGACTACAGGTGTGCGCCACCGTGCCTGGCTAATTTTTTGTGTATTTTTAGTAGAGACAGGGTTTCACCATGTTGGCCACACTGGTTTGGAACTCCTCACCTCAAGTGATCCACCCACCTTGGCCTCCCGAAGTGCTGGGATTACAGGCATGAGCCACCGCGCCTGGCCTGATTTGTTTTGTTTGTTTACTACCATCATCACAAGCTTGCTTGCAGTTTTCAGACTGTGTATTGCTGTATACTAGGGATACTAGCATGTTCTGGTAACTCCAAGTAAGGTTAAAGGCCCTCCTGAAGCCCGTAATTAGACTTGGGAATGTCAGTAGAAACACACGCCCTTCAATCATTCGCATATGAGGCTTTCTTTTCTGGTCGTTTATCTTAGGTATTCACTGCACAGGAGAGAACTCCGAGAACAGCATCTGAGTGCTTTGAAAGTGGCGCCGCGTCAGGGTCAGGCAGTGTAGTATTAGGAGACCAGTGTGGGTGCATGTAAGAACAGATCCAAAATAGCAGTGTCTTGCACAAGGTGGATGCTTATTTCTTTCTCATGTAACAGTTTAGAGATGACAGCCTTGACTGGGACAGAAGCGACTCTTCTGTCCCTAGGGTATCACTGTCGTCCGTGTGGTCCAGGATGGCTCTCTGCCACATTCACATTCCAAGGCAAACGATTAACAAGGAAGAAAGGCACCCCCTTCCCTATAAGGACATGTCCTGGAATTGGCACACATCACCTCCCCTTATGATCCATTGGCCAGAACTTAGTTATTTGACTGCCTCTAACTGCAGAGGGCTCTGGCAGATGTCATTATTCCGGGTGTCCCATTAAAAGTCAGGGCATCAGGCTGGGCACAGTGGCTCATGCCTGTAATCCAAGCACTTTGGGAAGCCGAGGCAGGCAGATGGCTTGAGCCCAGAAGTTCAAGACCAACCCAGGCAACATGGTAAAACCCCATCTCTACTGAAAATACAAAAAAAATTATCTGGGCATGGTGGTGCGTGCCTGTAGTCCCAGCTACTCTGGAGGCTGAGGTGGGAGGATCACTTGAGCCTGGGAAGTTGAGGCTGCAGTGAACTGAGACTGTGCCACTGCATGCCAGCCTGGGCAATGGGAGTGAGACCCTGTCTCAAAAAAAAAGCGGGGGGGATCTATCTTGCTAGAAGAAGGGGAGAATAGACTGGTGACTGGTACATAGCCGCCACAGCCAGGAAACGAACATGAGAAGGTATCCTGGCTCTTTCATTCTGAGCATGAGAGAATTCCAGGGTAATTTGCACCCCCTGAGCCGTCTCCCCTCCCCTGGCTGCCATCATCACTAGCAAGCATCTACCAAGCACCTGTTGAATGGAGGGCTGCCAGGACCAGATCACCAGGGCAATGATCTCCCTAAACCGCCTCCCGAACCTGACCCAGGCTAAGAATACGATCAGCATCCCCACCCCCTCCCACCCACCCAATGACTCCACCAGCTGCAGCAAATTTGCAGGAAGGGAAAAAGATGTCTTGATCATTTTGGAAGGAGCTAATCCCCCTGGTTTGGTTCAAGATAAATTGCATCCCAATCTGTTTGGCAGTAAGTTCCATCATGAATTCACTCTTTAGTTGAATTCAAAGGGACTGTCGTAGACTTCCTCTCTCATCTCTTGCCCTCCTCCCCTCCCTTCTTCAAGCCTCCTTCCAGTTCCAGTCCAGTATGAGAAGCTGATGAATGGTACCCACTTGAGAGACGGGCTGCAGGGCAGTGCCTCTTGGGCAGCGGGTCTGTGTGAAAGTGAGAGAGGCACAGAGTCCCATAGACGCTCTAAGATCTGAGTGTTGGGGGAGGTGCTTTCCCTAAAAGCAAGAACCACCCCTTCATCCCCCATGACCCCCCATGATCTCAGGTCATGGCTCTGGGAGCTCACAGTGCACCAGAGCGGGAGACGCATGTAGGGAGAGTTCCCCTGTCCTGGAGGTCCAGGGGCTCATGGGCAGCTCTGGGCTTTCTCTAGGTTTAGGGGAAGCTGGCCTGAGTCTCAGCTCCCCGATGCCAGACTCCTGTGGTCTAGTGCTGGTGTCCTGGCCTGCAGTTGGAGGCCACCCCAGGTGTCTCCTGGGAAGAGTTGGGGGGCTGGGGTGAGGTGGCCAGCACTGTGGCTGAAGCAGGTGTTTATGATGAAGCCATAGTCCAGGGAGAAGCTGGCGCTCGTCCTTGGTCCTGCCTGCTCCTCTACTCTTTGTCATCCTTCCCGCCCCCTCCTGTCTTCATTCAGTGCCTTCTTCCCACATCCTCCTCTTCCCTAGCTCCAGCTTTTTCTTCACTCCTCCCAGCTTCCCGAGTCAGTGAGGCCACTCAGAACAGGCCCATGTAGCCCCTGACTGCCTTGTGCCCTTACTAACCTGAGAACTCCCTGCAGACCTTTGGATTCTCTGTGTTGGCCTGGGCATTCTCCATTCTAGCCCCCTTGGTCTTCACTCTCCTTCCTCCCTTGCCCTCTCCCCACCTTCCTTTTCCTGGGCATTCATATGCTGTGAGCGACTGATGCTTATTTCCTTTGGGTCACTGAAACGGCCCCCACTGAGGATCAAGGCTAGCCACAGTGAATTCCTTTGGGGGGCCTAACCTATTTTTCTACTGCCCTGTGGCTCACCTCTCTGAAGTCAGGGGGAGGGTCTCTGTAGGAAGCACACTCACCTGGGGAGGCCCTAAGAGGCCTTAGGGGTGGGCCCAGGCTCTCTGTACCCTGCTCATCAGCACAGGGCCAGCCTGTGGGCAAGGCCCTCCCTGCAAAGAGGGTATGGAAATAGCCCATGGAAAGTGGGCCCATCTCCCTGCCTGGGGTGGGAGAGCCTCGGCTTTGCTAGGAAGGACTGGAATCAGCTCTGGGTGCAGGATTAGACCAGGATGCCTCAAAAATAATAATAATAATAAAAGGGCCTCTTGCAAAGCTCCAGGGAACAGATGTTTTCCATTTGTAGCCTGCCGAGAGAAAGCACAGAGGGGAGGGGGGTGGAGAGAGATGTAGGGAAGAGGAAGAAAACCGGGGACAGACAAGCAAGAGAAGAGGTCAGGGGGTAGGCAGGAGGACGATGAGAGCAGAGAGAAAATCAGAAAGGGGAAGAGAGAGTGAAGGAACGGAGGGGCCCCTTGACGCTAAGGGTGCAGCAAGGTCCTGTGTGCTGGGCTGATGACCTCGACAATGAAAATTCAAGGAAAATGTGGTGCCCTGGCCAGAGGATGCTGGAATGGGTGTGGGCACCACTGGGAACCGGCAGCCAGGGCCGGGCTGGGAAGGATCAGGGCCGTGGGTGGATGCGGTGCCCCAGGGCTCCTGCAGCCGTCTGACCATGGCTGGCAAAGCATCGAGCAGGAGCCGAAGGCATCTGCTCAGGGACACTGAGACTAGCAAGGGGTGGTGCACTGTCACCCCAGACCTTTGGGCCTGTCTGCAGGTCAGAGGCCTACCCTGGAGGCTGGCCCTGCTGGGCACTCTCTGCCAGGCCGCCAGAAGCCTGCAGGAGGTCTCCCTGGGCTCTGGTCTGTGTCTTCTGGTTTCCTGTCTAACTGGGGATGGAGCCCGTCAGTGGAACAGCCCTACGGTTCTTCAGGACGTGTTCTCTGGTGTGTGGCCAGCCCAGCAAGGCCCAGGCCTCTGGAATACCCAGGGCCCTGAGGCAAGACGGATTGGGATTGGCTGGGGTGCCCTTTAATTAAAATCTCTTGATGTGAATGCACTATGAGGGGTCCCCAAGGGAGGGACCAGGGGCAGCCTCTGGAGACAGGGCAGCAAGTTGTAAACAGCTTAATGAGCTGTACCAGGGCCAAGTGGTCCAGGGGAGTGGGGAGCTTGACCCCTGGGCCCTCAGCTAAACTGAGCTTCTGGCGATGGAGGAAGCAGCCACCCTGCAGAAGTGACACCCACACACTTCCTTCTGCTTCTCCTCTCTCGTGACCCTGGGGGATTCTGCCACAGTGGAGCCCAGCCCACCTTCCTTGACCTCTTAGTCCAAAGGCCTCTGCAGCCTTCAGGCCCCAGCTCCGATGCCACCTCCCTCAGGAAGACTTCCCTGACCACACCAGCAGCACCGACCTGGCACCTCTTGAGTACCCATAACACTCAGATGTGGCACTTGTCATTCTACTGCCCTGGTCTCTCAAGTGGTTTAGTGGTTCAGCTGCTCCCACCCCTGCCCCCACTCTTTCTCCTCCTCATGGGGAGACCAGGCACATAGTCAGTACTTAATAGTTGTATGTTAAGCACTCTGTTCAGACGCCCCAGCAGCAGCTCAACAGCAAAGCAGAGAGGGAGAGCTGAGGCTGAGATAGCCAAATCTCTGACCCCTCCCCCCACTAGCCATCTGCCCCTGGGTTCAAAGCCCCCATTTCCTGTGCTCTCTGCCTTGGGAATCTCCATTTCAGGCTGTCCCCAGGGACTAGAGCCCGCATTTCTCTCCCATATCCGGAAAGCCTGGCTTCTCTGTGTTTAATTCTCTGATCCTCCCAAGTTATCATCTCCACTAGAGAAAAAGAGTCCTCTCACTCAAAAAGCGTTGTATTTTAGGATATGGCAGGCTACTCTACTCGGGTTGCACAATGAACCTTAGGCAATGCTCGTGCTAAGTACCCCAGTGCCTGTGTTGCAGTCAAGGCCTTAGTTAGGCCTCTCCTGCTGCCTATTGGGACAGGAAGAGAGAATGTCTGGGCCTGGTTTCTCCACCTCTTTCTGGGAGATTCCCTTGGGCATATCTGTTCTCTCTCCACCCCAGACATAATCTGAACTAGGGTAACCTCAGCTGTCAGCTTTTGCTAGGCAGAGTTCTTGGCAAAACCACAAGTCAGACTCTGCTGGCCCTTCTGCGTTCCCCATCTGTGTCTTGATCCTTCTGTGCCTTCAGCATAGGCTAGGCCCCAGGAGTGGGCCACCAAGCCTGGGGGCTGCTTTGGACAAAGGCTGAGTGCCCAGTGAGGCTGAAGAGCCGCGTCTCCTAAAGTGCCTGGTGTGGGGTGTGCCCGTGGGTCTGAAATGTGTGTGTGTGTGGGCTGTCCTGGATTGGAGAAAGTGCCTCATTCCCTACTCCTCTAGTTCCAGGACAGATCCTCTCCTGCCTGCTGGCCCAAAGGGGTGTGTGTCTGCTTTGGAGGGAGGCCACGGAACTGCTGGGGAGTCCAGCCCTGGCTTTGCCCTTTCTCAGTGAGGGAATGGGGCGGGGTCCTCACCTCCTAAGCCTGCTTTTTTTTTTTTTTTTTTTTTTTTTTGAGATGGAGTCTGGCTTTGTCACCCAGGCTAGAGCACAGTGGCGCTATCTCAGTTCACCACAACCTCCACCTCCCAGATTCAATGAACTCTCTGCCTCAGCCTCCCGAGTACTGGGATCACAGGCACCCGCCACCATGCCCAGCTAATTTTTTTTGTATTTTTAGTAGATACAGGGTTTCACCATCCTGGCCAGGCTGGTCTTGAACTCCTGACCTCGTGATCTGCCCGCCTTGGCCTCCCAAAGTGGTGGGACTACAGGCGTGAGCCACGGCGCCCAGGCACCTGCATTTATTTAAGTAAGAATTATGCCTCCTTCCAAGACTTGCTGTCAGGATTAATGAGAAAATGTTTCCCAAACCCGGGCTTGGCCCATCAGCTCTCCATCAGCACAGGGGAGGTTTCTGTAGCTGTTACCAACAATGCTTGGTTTGTGCCCTCCTTTGCCCCTGAGCCTCTTCTCCCTCATCCTCCCACCCTATCTTTGGCAGGGTCATTTGGTTCTCCCTGGCTCTGAGCACATACCCACCTTCCGTCAGCCCCTGCCTGGGAGACCAAGGGACCCAAAGAGAGTTCCGTGGTCTGCTTCCATCCCCTTCTCCCTGGACGTGCAATGAACAAAGGAAGTGAAGGAACACTGAAAAAGAGGCTGCAGTCACCTGAGCAAGCTTTTAGCTCAGGGGACGCCATGTCCCCTCACCAGGTTCTGAAGTCAAACAGCCCAATGCAAACCCTGGCTTCACCACTTACTCCCTCCCACTGTGGCCTTAGTCCAATGCCTTGACCCCTCTGTGCCCAGTTTTTGCCCCTCTAAAGTGGGGTAATAAAAGTACTTGTGCAGGGTGCGGTTTCTCATGCCTATTATCTCAGCACTTTGAGAGGCTGAAATGGGAGGATCTCTTGAGCCCAGGAGTTCAAGACCAGCCTGGGCAACATGGCAAAAGCCTATCTCTACAAAAAATACAAAACTTATCTGGGCATGTTGGCACATGTCTGTAGTCCCAGCTACTCAGGAGACTGAGGTGGGAGGATTGCTTGAGCCCAAGAGGTCAAGGCTGCAGTGAGGCCAAGCACAGTGGCTCACGCTTGCAATCCTAGCACTTTGGGAGGCTAAGGTGGGCAGATCACTTGAGGCCAGGAGTTCGAGACCAGCCTGAGCCCCTCTACCAAAAATACAAAAATTAGCCAGGCATGGTGGTGCGTGCCTGTAATCCCAGCTACTGGGGAGGCTAAGACAGGAAAATCACTTGAACCCAGGGGGCAGAGGTTACAGTGAGCTGAGATCGTGCCATTGCACTGCAGCCTGGACAACAGAGGGAGACTCTGTCTCTAAATAAATAAATTAATTTTTTTTTAGAAAAGGCTGCAGTGAGCCATGGTCACATCAGTGCACTCCAGCCTGGTTGACAAAGGAGACCCTGTCTCAAAAAAAAAAAAAAAAAAAAAAAGCTTGTTCTACAGGATTTTTGTGAGCATTAACTGGGACGATCTTGGTGCCATTGACTGGCACTTAGCAAGGTGCCTGACACAGAGGAGGCTCTCAGAAACTGTTACCTAGTGTTCGCACTACATCCCATAGTCAGTGTGCCCTGTGCTGTGACTCGGTGGGATAGTGTTCATCACCTAAGACCGGTTCCCCAGCTCTGAGGATGCAGGGAGGGGGTCAGGATGCCTCTGACTCCCCACAACTCACACCTCCCACTGCCCTTCTGGTTTTGCAGCTGAGCTGTTCATGGAGCAGCAGCACCTCAAGGAAGCAGGTTTCTGCATCCAGGAGGCAGCAAGCCTCTTCCCCACTTCTCACTCAGTACTATATATGCGGGGCCGGCTGGCCGAGGTGAAGGGCAGCCTGGAGGAAGCCAAGCAGCTGTACAAGGAGGCGCTCACGGTGAACCCAGATGGCGTGCGCATCATGCACAGCCTGGTGAGTCAGACCCCGCCCCCCTCCATCCGCACTCACGCCACCTCCTCCCACAGCCTCAGGGCCCTTATCCCCCTTTGTCCCTCCTTTCCCCATACTCCACTGCCTGCCTGTGCCTTGCTACTGCTGTTCCCTGGTGTCTGGGGGAGGGGACTTCCCTCCTGCTCTGTTGGAAGAGACAGTTCTTGGGATACCTAGCCTTCTCTTGTAGACACAGGCCATTTCCCTTCAATCAGGGTCTGTGTTGATGACAAAATCTAGAAGGTTTGGTTGATACTCTTTGTGACTTCCTTTTGCTGTAAGTTTCTACAAAGAGATCTAGCCCCAAAAGGCTCTCATTGTTACCCATCAGACCCTTGCCCTGAAGGCTAATCCAGACTCTAGGCGGTTACCAAAATGCTTTTCTTTCTGGGAGTCCCCAGACCCTCCCTGCCTTCTCCATTTCCAAGGAGAAGGTGGAATTCAGGGAGTTTTCTGGGTGGGATTCCGGGGGTTTTCTGGGATGAGCTGTCATGTCAGACCTGACTCAAGCACACATTGAGAATGGTCCCTGGGGTGCTAAGAGGATCCAGTAGTCCCTGGTCCTCATTCATAGGCTCAGGACTTGGGTGTCCAGGGCACAGTGGCCTCCCTGTGGGAAGCAAAGAGGCTGGGGAGCCGGATGCTGATACTCTTGTCCTCTACCTGGTGATCATGGGTAAGTCAGCCACCCTTAGTTTTAATCATCTTTCCGGTGGGTATCCTCTGGTCCAGGCAACATTTATTGAGCACCAGCTCTGACAGGTGATATTCTGGACCCTATAGATTATCATTTTTTCCCTGCTTTCCTTTGCTGCTTCCAGAGAACAGGTATCCAGATAAATGTAGTGATCTGGAAGCTTGCAAGCCTGCATCTGTACAAGTGAACAAGTGATTTTTCAAGGATGATCTAGGAGCCCACAGTTAGCAACAATCTTTCCCTCTTAGTGTCTGGGTTCCACCTAAGATGTCTCCATGTGAGAGCGCGTTGAGGGGAACAGCCATTAGGGTATCCCTGACGTCTGGCACAGAGAGAGCACAGAGGCATCAGGAGCATGGCTCCAGATGGCTGAAGGGTTGGCATTGCCAAAAGGGGGCTGATTTGTCTGTGAGTAGAAGCTACAGGGAGTTAGATTTCAGCCATGTCAGGGAAAACATTATAACTCTTAGCATAGTCTAGTCACATACTCAGTAATCATCTGGTGAGAGTGTTGCCAAGAGAATGCAGCGTCACATGGGGAGGAGCCAGACCAGGCCATCTTCATAAGGTCCTTTCCAACCTGACAGTCCTTGAAAAGGAAATAGAACAGGAATTCCCAGCTCAGCTATTATTCCTGCTGCCTGATTTCTGTAGATTTCTAACTTAGGTCTGTGTGAATGTTCAGCCTCGGATGAAGAAAGCTCGTGCAGCCACCATACACCCTTGTCCATGTTCCCTCCCACATGGCTGCATTGCCTTCCAGTCAACTCAACAAATGTTTGCTTTCTGCAAGAGGCTTCCTCCTTCCTCCCTCAATTTAGACATCAGCTTCTCTGATAAATGCCTCGCCAGAGGTCACATCCAGAAACTTGATGAGGGCAATGGAAGGGAGGGTGTGGGCTATATCATTAGGCCTGCAGCCAGGCAGAGATGTCTGCCTTCCACTGTGTTCACAGATATGAGCCTGCAGGCTCAGCCCTGAAAACCCAACAAAATCCAATAACAAGTACAATTTTGAAGTAACAGTGTACCATTTTTCATTTATGCTTATTATTGTTTGTAGCTATTTTCCTGAAATTGAAGCAGTTTCCAAGGGTAGGTTTCCATGGTAACTGAATAGCCATCCAGAGTGGCTCCCTGCAGATGTTTCTGAAGTGGTCCCTTTTTCCTTCCTGGGGTGCCTTGCTGATTTGATGAAATTGGAGCAAGTTGGAGCCAGGCCTGCTCTCTTTTAAAGTTACAAGCAACCAGAGGGGCATTCGGCTTCTGCGTGGGCAGCCCATCCCGTCTACAGGCTCTGTTCCTGCCAGCATCCCACACATACGCATAAAGAATAGCAAATGTTCAGCCTGGGGAAGATTTGCTAAGCACTCATTTTCTAAAGACATTTGAATGCTTTAGTGAGTCGATCTCAAGTGTTCCCAGATCTAAGTGTCTTCCCTGTGCTGGCCTGAGACTCGGGACATCTGGGGTCTAATCCTGGCTCTGGCCCTGATCCACTTGGGGGACTTAGGAAAAGACACGCTTAACTTGCATGCTCCTGGTGTCCCCTTTTGTAGATAACGATCCTCATTGTTCCTGGGCCATAGTGTTGTTCTAATCAAATGAAGTGATACATGTGAAAGTGTAAACGTCTGCAGTGCAATCCCAGAGATAGCAAAGCATAGCGCGGAGGATCCCACTCCCCTTCAGTCCCTCACCAGTGTCAGACATTGCTAAGCAATCACAGCACCTTTTTCCCACTGAGCAAAGATGTGATCTTGGAATCTTTTTCAATGTGATACAACATGATAGGAATGACTAGCTGTCATTCTAAGTCAGTTTCACATTTTTGTAAGGGATTCATTGTAAAAATTGTAGAGGAAAGAGACACATCAGTCATCTGAGCCTTTGTGAACTCTGGAGGTTGGTACAGCCTTGGAGAATTATCAAGAGAGGAACGTGGAAGGGAGGTGGTATCCCTGCTGTGGAGCCAAGGCAGGCTTCCAGGGAGGACACTCTGGCCTTACCATGCCACTGTGACTTTATGAGGACATTGTTCTCTAATCAGTACAAGGAGAAGGAGAGCCTCCCCTCCCCTAAGGGCACAGCCACCCACAGGCCTGGGCTAGAGGAGCTTAGAGCCCCCAGCGAGCCCTCTGAGGTCGTGGGTGGGTCCTGCTCCCTGAGGTCTGGAAAGTGGTCGGTGAAGATATTCTTACTGTGCTGTGTGGGTGCTGGGTTTGGCCCTCTAGTCCTTAGAATGGGGTTGGCAAGTGCCAAGAGGCTAAAGAAAGCCCACTGGGAGTTGAAGACTTTGCTCTTAGGGGCCAGGGGCCCCATGTCTCTAAGAATATAGGCTTTGGCCAAGAGCCGATTCTCTACTCTCCCTGTCCCCCTGTCCCTGCCCCTGTTTCTGTGGTTCTAGCCCTGATCTGGGTTCGACTCAGGGTTTTCTACCCAGACCAGGCAGGAAGGAGATGCCACCTTGGCAGTTCTCTGCTGGGCAAGAGAACCAGCACAGTTTGTCCCAAGTTTGTCCATCAGGCTCTGGTCCTGCTGGCTGCTATCTGCACCAGGCTCAAGGATGGCCAGGGGCCTCTGGGAAACTGGCAAGTGTAGAAAGAAAAAGCAGTGTGCTCTCTGCAGTGGAAATCAAATCACAGGAGCAGGTCCTGACAGTCTGCTAGCGTGGTCCCAGACTTCTCTCCAGGTAGCTGGAAATCCCACTCGGCTGGGGTATTCAGAACCGAATTCACTGGCAGAAAATTTTAGCCAAGAAGGGGAAGGCTGAACTTTGCCTGCCTGCCTGAAACGTGAGAAGGAAGGCAGAGGCCTCCCAGGATGCATAGGCGTCGCCGGTTGATGCTGCTCTTCAGAGAGAGCTTCAAGGCTTGGCCAGGAAGGGACCCCTAGCAGCCTGCACTTCTCTTGGAGCTTATCTCTGCCCTGCCACCTCCCCGGATCCCCTCTGCACCAGGCACTTCCAAGGGCAGAATAGGTACCTGAGGAAACCAGGGAGCTCCAACAGTGACTGGTAGACTGGTTGGGTCATTAAGAGCCCTCCCAGGGGGGGTTCCTTTGAGGTCACCTGACTTTCATGATGGGAGGGTGGTTGGTCATGAAGCTAAGATTAGAGCACCTCATGGAATGAGTGGCTTGACTTGGTTTCCCAGTGTAGGGAAGGAAAAAACCATTTTCTCTCTACCTTTCTGAGTTCTTAGCTCGGACCCTGGTAATAGAAGACAGATTAACAAGGAAAAACAAACAGAACTTTATTAACATGTATAAAATGTTCTCATGGGAGATCCTCAGGAAAAATGAGAAAAGCTTAAAGAGGTAGCTTAGAGGTCTGGCACGGTGGCTCACACCTGTAATCCCAGCACTTTGGGAGGCCAAGGCGGGTGGATCACAAGGTCAGGAGATCTAGACCATCCTGTGAAACCCTCTCTCTACTAAAAATACAAACAATTAGCCAGGTGTGGTAGCGGGCACCTGTGTAGTCCCAGCTACTTAGGAGGCTGAGGCAGGAGAATGACGTGAACCCGGGAGGCGGAGCTTGCAGTGAGCCGAGATCACGCCACTGCACTCCAGCCTGGGCGACAGAGAGAGAGTTCTCTCAAAACAAACAAACAAACAAACAAAAGAGGTAGCTTAGAACTCTGGCTTACATAGCATTTTCAACCAAGAGCATACAATTTAAAAGAAGCAAGAGACAAAGAAAAAGGACTTGGAGTCTCTGGGGATGGAAAATTGTGGGGAGACAAATCAATGGGAAACTAATGATAGATAAAGGCTAGTTAGCAGAACTTGTTATGTAGATTCCTTTGTGCCATCTCCAGGCTGATAAGGTTTTAACATTGTCTTCTGTGATCAGCCTTTGTCCTTCCTGGTTGAGGGGGAGGAGGGACACCCTTATAAATGTATATATCCAGCTTTTAGGCAAATAGGGGGAGGGCAGAGAGCTTTTCTTGTCTCTGCTGCTTCTCAGTTGCCTTCAGCTGAAAACAATCCTTATGCCCAAGTGACATATTTTGGGGTGGCATGTTCTGCTACCCTTCAGCAGCCCCTGAAGAAGGTCCTAGCCCTAGCCACAGAGCCACCAACTCTCCCTGCCCTCAGCTTGGCTAAGGAGAGTGTGGACACTTTGGTGCAGCTTGTCTGTACTGCAAGAGACAACTTGACACCCTCAGGCATGAGTGGGCAAGCAAGGTGTCTGGGTGGCACTCTGCCCTCTTTTCCCAGGGGCAGACTCTGGAGAGGGGGAGTGTCCTGGTCCCTCCCATACCCCAGCCCCTCCCCTCCT